GTCCAAATAAATACCCATTCATGAAAACAAATAGTATGTCAAAGATAAAGAACATTTTGCCTTCTACTTCTTTTGTGGTTGATAGGCAGATAAGATATTTGAGTTTCTCATTTTCTTGTCTTGTGGTAAAATCTGGTGCTTTTTTAAATGCTTTAAACAAAAGTCTTTTCAAAATTTAATATTTTTTAGACAACATAATATAAACTGAATTTCACCCGCCACTGTCTTACACGGTGAACATAGCCGGTGTTATCGTGGAAATTTTAAAATCCTTCCCTTTTCCATCACTACATTTTAATCGCAAAGTCTAATTCTTGTATTATAGGAATCATTTTCAAAAGAGTTGGAATTTGAATACTAGTACTTTTTCATTTCTAAAATTTGCTTCAATTTCTCAGTTGTAAAGCTGGAATTTTTGGTTTTAACTGCCTTTTTAGATTCATGTTCATATCTATTTTTGTAGAAATTTCCAAATTTCTGTTTTGTGTCTTTTTTTCTAGCTTTGTGTAATTTTGCCGTGGTATCCCTCAAGATTGGTTAATTCTATGTTTATCCCTTTTAAATTAAAAGACACCAGACGCATTACAGCCAGTTCAAATTTCTAATATTTAATTTGATCTATGGAACGCTTATGTCCATCGCATAACAGCGTAACATTTAACGGTCAGCGTTAAGCTAGGGGATTTTATACATTTGAGTGCACGTGCTTTCATCCGCAGTATTGTCATACGCGCTGACCACTTGTTCGATAATTTCTATAATAGAGATCTCATTATGTTTAAAGAAAACAGAATGAGGCAAGTAAGAAGATTTCTCAGTGTGAGTTTTGATATTTTTATAATGAACTATGGATATAATACATGTTTTTGATGTTGACAATTCAACTAGATAAGAGGATTTGGTGGACATTAAAAGACAATTAATATTTAAAAAAATGGCGTACAATTAAATGATTAATAACTGAAAAGGTTTGATAAACGTACTACAATGAATCGAATTTTGATAAACACATCAGACATATCCATTCTCTAAAACACATACGCGCGGAGGAGGGTGACAAAATTAAATTAATGTACGATGTGTAAAGAAAGTCAACAAATACACTCGCGCACATGGCCAAACGAAACTTATTTCAGATATGAACTATGCAATATATTTATAAGCGGCGTCAAAAAGGTAAAATGGACTTGCTCACTAAAAAAAAGTTGATAAAACACGCTGTTTTTTGTTAGCCAAAAGACATTTTAATGTTGTTAAAAAATTAGAATTAAAAAAAAAATGCTATGTACAGACCTGTAAAATACCTTATATTATACTTAATTCGCCATAAATTGTTCTCTCAGGAAAAAAATCTGTCAGGGATAAGTTTTCTTGTTCCCTATCAAATTCAAAGATTGTGTTCAAAAGAACTACAATATATCGAATAAGAGACAAGAAGTAGAGGCGGATTTGGGGGGGGGGGGGGGGCATGGAACCCGGCTCCCTTATAGGGCTTAACATATGACAAATACATAAGACGTTTTACAAGTATCACTCCAAACGTTGGCTTGACAGGCCCCATCCCTTTTTCAAAATCCCTGATCCACACCTGAGAAGGGAGCTTGAGGTTGATAGGCACATCATAATCACTGTATAGGAATAAGGAGATGTGGTATGATTGCCAATGAGACAACTATGTACCCATCCAAGTTCAAATGAAGTGGATGTAAGCAATTATAGGCAACCGTACGGCTTTCAACAATGAGAAAACCCCATACCGTGTAGTCGGCTATCATAATATTTTATCATAATCACATAATTACGTTTATGAGCTCGAACATAGAACATGGAAGAAGATTTGAAATTGAGAATGGAAATAGGGAATGTGTCAAAGAGACAACAACCCAACCAAAGAGCAGAAAACAGCCCAAGGCCACCAATGGGTTGCATTTTTGACAACTTTAACAAATGCCCTTGTATTTGTTTCATGGATGGTGAACATTCGGAAGTTGGTAAAACCAGATATAATGGCTATTACATCTATGGTAAAACCTAGTGACATAGGAGCATCAAAGAGTATATAAATAATATACTATAGTTTAAGATATATTACAATTAATTTACGTGAATTACATACACTTTTGTGTAGATATTGTGCTGAAAATGACCATGTGCTTTACATTTAACAATAAGTAGGCCTCATACCCTTCTTGCTGACCTAGCTACAGCTTTTGCCATTAATTTTTACAATTATTTTACATGTATTATATACCTTGAAACATGAAGATCTACTTCTTAAATTTTGTTTTGTTTGCAATTACCTTCTTATTTAAAATTAAGTTAATAACTCAAAAGTTGCAAAATTGTATACGTCAGATATGGCCCTCTGTATACACGTGTATGTTTGTATTTGTCGTTTAATATTCAGAAATATGACACATTTTTTTCGGAACCTTAGGGAACATAAATTCAGCTCTGTTATCAGAGTTTTTTTTTTATTTATAGATTGAGTGATTGTTTTATTCAAAAAGATCTTTACGTGAAATTAATTCACGGAAATTTGGCACAATGCCCCCCTTCTTTATACAACAAATAATGGCACATGGAATTGTTCCAAGTCGCAGGATGAGTGTTGCAAAGACTGAAAATTGTATATATGTGTATTGATAAATTAGTTATTGGTTGATAATTAATGAAATTAATACAATTTATTGACACTAATAATACGGGATTTAATTATTTTCTTTGGATCAGTTTCTAACTGTATGATTCCAACAGTAAGGTAAAAGAGGGAAATTAAAATTTTTTAAATATTTCAACTATTTGATCAAAATGAAGCCAATGAAATAAAAACCACTAATTTACATTCATCCATTACAGGAGGTCTTTTCTTAACACACAGTGTGATTAGTTTTATTTTAAAGAAAGGACAATAATCAGAAATTGCTGTAAATTATTTAAAGCGAGGCAAAGGATACCAAAGGGATACTCAAACTCCTAAGTCGAAAATAAACTGATAACGCCATGGATAAAATAGAGGAGGGCAAACTGACATACAACAGTGCACAAAACACAATATAGAAAACCAAAGTCTGAGCAACACGAACCTCACCAAGTGAAGCAGAGCTTTGCGAGAAACGGCAAATGTTAATGAAATACAAATGTGGCGGCAGCCTAAAGCGAATAAAAGTAACTTTTTTTAAGCTTTCGTGAAAAAAGTAAAATCACAAAAATACTGAACTCCGAGGAAAATTCAAAAAGGAAAGTCTCCAATCAAATGGCAAAATCAAAAAAAGAAAAAACAAACACATCAAACGAATGGATAACAACTGTCATATTCCTGACTTGGTACAGGCATTTTCTTATGTAGAAAATGGTGGATTGAACCTGGTTTTATAGCTAGCTAAACCCCCCACTTGTATGACAGTCGCATCAAATTCCATGAAACGGGATCATAGAAAAACAATTGAAATTCTATAACGTTCCTAAATTATTTATTACGGAAGAGTAGCATAACACTCCTTCTTTATCTGATAATAGAAATACCCCGTTCGAGTCCCAAACTGACTGCTTTTTCTTTGACACTAACGAAACGAATTTGATTAGTTCCCTAACACTTCAGTGATGTCTACATTAATAAATAATTAATCAATATGAATTCTAGATTAATTTTTCGGTTACGTCTTAACATTATGTATGTAACACTTCAAAATAGAAAATATAATATATTTGGTATCAAAATCATGTACTTCACATATCAATTTCACGACAGTTGTACTTTAATATAAAGGATTAGATCTATTAACCTAAATATAGAAACAATCTATTTTTATGAGATGGGCTGTCTTAAACAATACATCTTTCTGCTTCTTTTTGTCTGATGGCTTATCTTACCTGTTCTGCAGTCCATCATTTTATTTAAATCGTTATATCATATTTATAGCTTTGAGCTTTTTAATTTTTAAATTAAGTAGCTCCCACAGTTCACATATTATGTTTTGCAGTTTTACCAACAGAAGTAAACGTTTTAAAAGATAAAAATGTCATAACATAATTGAATTCACCATCACAGTGGTTTTTCAATAGGTATATATTTGGTACAATTCATACAATCAAAAAAATATCGTTTAAGAAATATAAACATTTTTCAACAAAAAACTATTGAGACAAAATTAAAATTACGGTATAGGAATAAAATTACAAGTTTTATATCGTATATCAAACTTAATCAAAATCTGTATTATTTATCTATTTTTTTATGTATAAATAAATATTTGTATGTAAAAGTGAGACAAAATATGTATCATAAAATTGTTAGTTCACCAAGTTGATCTTTCAATTGTATTATTCATTCATAGTGTAGCATATGAATCTTATTTTAATAACAACATGAAATTTCTATAATAAAGTACAATATTGAGAAAGTTAATTCAATAATTGAAGAGAATATAAGATAAAAAGCACAATAAATTAATATAAATTGTTTTTCAATAAAATTCAATCATAGAAAAGAATTCTTTTGTTTACTTTAAAAACAAAACTCCATAAAATTGTGCTCCATCTGTCAAATTTTGTCGGTATATTCTTTATTGAAAGTTTAGTTTTCTTAAAGTGTAAAAATTAAATTACAAGTATGTTTGTTAAAAATAATCTCGGCGTCTGTTTGTTTAAGATTTCTCTACCCTACTCGTGCCGTTATTTATTTAGGTGAAAAACTCTTTGAAGATTTTAACGACACGAGAAAGTGTTTTTTCACCTTATTTCGGTTAATCAGCATTGGACTGTTTTTACAAGTAATTTCCATGTTTGGATAATTGAGAACTACGGCACGTGACCTACGGCACGATCGTTAGTTTTGATTGGATGATCTCATAATCTCTACGCCCCCACGAGTCAAGTGTCATTGATCAACTCATTTGCATGAGAATACCTGTCGTACGACCGTTTGATCAAAATTGATATAAAAGACCTGCTCGGTCAAACAGAAGTCACATTCTTCATCAATCGATCAAAGCGAAAATATTAAGTTACTTTGATTTTAGTTAAACCTCAACATGAAGTCAGAGTTTGATTCCAGCTATTCGCTGTCTCCAGCAACAAGCAGCGTAAGCAGTCCTTGTACTGCTTATCCATATTCATCGCAGTCATCAATTTCCAGAGCTGACAGTTTATCGGAGTATGATTTTGAAAATGACGATGTTTTTAACGCAGCATCACCAGTAGAAAAGATAGATTTTAATAACATTTCTCCAGAAACTAAAACAAAAGGACTACCTAAACCGGATTTATCGGGAGCTGAAAATCCTCCAAAGAGGAAACGCTACAACAAGTCTCGTCGACGTGATAGGAGTCCAGCTCTGGTAGAGAAGATAAAGAAAACCCGCAGATCAAAAGCTAATGACCGAGAACGTAGCCGTATGCACGGACTAAATGATGCTTTGGAGACTCTGCGAGAAATATTGCCCGTCACTTCTGGTGAAAACAAACTTACAAAGATAGAGACACTCCGAATGGCACACAACTACATATGGATGCTATCACAGACCTTGGACATGGTTGACAAAGCACCACAAACCTCTGTTCCCGTTTCTGAAATCGAGCAAGTGCCATCAAGAGACAATATCACAAATAGTGCTGTAACACAGGAATCGTCTTTTCTGTGTAAAGCGGAACAATTCACATGTCAGACCCCGTCACCAGTGCCAAGTGTACAAGAAAATTATTTCCAGGCTCAACAGCATGACATTTATACAGTAACAACTACCTCGCGTGTTCCCGTAAATGGAGATAGACCTGTTACATACTCAGAGACATTTTCGCCTATTTCTTCATCGTCGCCAGTGTTTGCCTCTCACCAAACTATACCAACAGGACATATTGTTAAAAATATGGCGCATCCGTCTCTTGGATTTACAAGTTATGGACAATCATTTAGTTGGAATTCTATGTACCAAAGACCACAGCCTGGAAGTCCTACAGAATACTCCGACACTTCTGACGGATTTGCCTATGAGATGTTTCCGTAAATTTCACTGTTAAAATGTACATTCAACAAACTGTGCTTTATTTTGTGTTTAGACGAGATTTCGTATCTTGGAACTTGTGATATATTTGTGCTTCCTAATCATAAATTATTTCTATTTTGTAGATATTGAAATTATTTTTGTAAACATTTATAAAATTACTATGCAAATGACATTTCATTATTTTTAATTTATCTATGCATAATATTTTATCAAAATCATCTTTTTTTGTAGTAAGTAGTAAATCATTACATAATTACGATTGCGATCTTACAAATTTGTACATCATTACAAAAACCAGAAGTTCAAAAGATGTTTTATTTGCTCAAAGGTAAATGAATTTGATAACGAAGTTGTACTTTTCACGGTTTAGCAGATTTTATTACAAATCTTATTTTTACAAGTGTGAATTTATCATGTCGTTTTATAGACAATGCCAAACATTCCATATTTGTCTATTTGTTATCGGGGAAATCCAACTATTTTGTAATTTAAAATTGTTAATACTATTGACATTTTCAATTTAATTGAAAATAAATAAATATATAATTTCATTCATGTCTCGTTTGTTTGTTGTGACCATGTTAGAAGGATAATAAATACCCCTTAACGAGTGATGAAATCGACATTATTACAACAATTTACACTGACTGTTGTCAGTTTCACTGTTATCAAAATGTCCGAGTATTTGAACCGTATTGTTTGAAGTACATTCAAATTTTCAGCTCGAAATAAAATTTAATTTTTACAAAAAATATTAAGAAATTTTTGTTTTACATTGTAAAAAATAGCTTATAGAATTTTATTTCGAGCTTGAAATTTGTCTTGTATATTTTAACTTTAATGTCCTCCAACTTTATATTACACAATGTAAGCGATTCTGATATAATACACAATGCAAATGAACAAGAGGTTAAAACAAACTCTTTTTACACATTATGACTTGGATGGAGAGTTGTCTCATTGGCATTCATACCACATCTTCTTATTTCTATTGAACGTTTCAATATATCTCTCTAAAAATGTGTGAAATTCATAACATATTTCTCTAAAGATATAAAATGAGATTACCATGGAGACAACTGCCTGACAGAGTCCAAAAGGACGAGGATTGAAGCGAGATGTCTACTACAATAACTAAAGATTTATTTGAGTCGAAAATTAAAAGTCTTACGGAAGTGTTGGCATTTTGAAAAAAAACCTTAAAAGTAATGGGAACACTTTTAACACAAGGAAAATATATAATAATAACTTGAGGTGGAAAACATATAATAAAGAAACACCGCATGCAATAATTTTCAAAGCACTTTTATACAAAAGTGTCCTCCTCCCTTTTTGTATGAATTCATTGACAATTTTAAAAAGAAACATCTGATGGAATAAAGTTTACACAACATAGTGATATAAACTAGAGTTTACTAGACCTGAATTGGAAATTTTGTCAGTTTTTTTCGTCTCCTTTTTGTGAGTATATTCATGACAATCCATATATAGCGAACAGGTTGTCTATGTTAGACCAAAAAGTAGCATATATAAATCTCGACATACACAACACAATGTATTGTTTACAAACAAATAGTCATATTGATAGATATATATAATAAAGATAAGATATATATATTTTAGATTGTTTACAAAATTCAAAAACTGTGTACATGCTACACATATCAACTTTAAAGCTAATCCGAATAATGCAGTCCCTCCCATTGATCGTACTATGTACATGTACTTATACCTTAGCTAGTCAACACTTGATACTTAATATATCTTTGGGCTGAGAGGAGGGCTTACTGAAAATAAAATAAAACCAGATATTAAGCCACCAAAATGCTTTTCAGTTATTGTCTCATACGAAATGTAACATGTACACCATAAAGCATTAAATTTGACACAAGCATTCTGAGTTACACGAGGGCATCATTGTCTGAGATAGTTTTGTTAAATATTTTGAATAATATCTGAATTTCAGTACAGAAGTGAAATGTCAGAGCAACAGAAACGGCAGTACATTTTTTTCGAATTTTGTTTTAATTTCCAGCATTATACGTCAATGCTGATATGTGACGACAAACTATAGAAAATAAAAGGATATGGAGTAAATATACATGGGACAAAATCGCACACAATACATAGAAAACATAGAAAATTATCAATGAACAGGGCTTTTATTCCTGTTCTTCATCTTGACAGTTGTTGTAGGGTCTTCAACAATGAACGAATCATTCATACCCTAAAACAAGGTCAAGACGGCCCCTAGCGAAAATAAACCACAGTTCACTCGCCTCGGAGTGAATGCAAGTATAGCCAAAGCTAGCCGATATTAAGAAAAGTAGCTCAGTATATTAGACAACCATTGCAAATTGCTAATGTCGAATTTGTAAGAGATGTTATCTTGATGTTGAATGGGATGATTAATTCGCTTCCACGACTACCATTTTTTTAAATAAAACAATGGTACCAATTTATCTTTCCTCACGGAACAAGAGAAATAATAAGACATCCAGATTTGAATTGGATCATCTGCAGATTCTTTAAAAGGGTGCGTTAAAAATATATGCCTTTGTTAACATAAATGCAATCGCCAAAGTCGAACCAGTATAGTATCAAAATTTTAATTGGCAATTAAAGAGGAAAATGTTCAAAATTTTAAATAAAAATGATAATCTTTACCGCAAATGAAATTAATGAACTTTCACACAAAAACATCAATAAAATCATAGCGAGGAAGAACGTTTATAATCATTTCTTTGATTATTAATGATTTTATTTAATTTTATTGCTTTTCTTCCCTTTTGGTCAGTCAATTATGAACTATTATGGGGGAAACAATCATAAATACACCACACAGCACGTGCTCTGTAGAACCTTTTCTGAAGTCGCGAGGTTGAAAAATCAAAAGACGCCGCGCGCGTGGCCCTCAAGTATGACCACGTCAACTTTTGTTGTCTTGTCTTGACCGTATCGAACCTTAGGCCTGGATTTGACAGCGAGATAATTTTAAGATTTCTATAAATGAAATCTTTTAAACGTTTATTGGGTTTGTAGAAATGTTCGAACGCCAGAGGCGGGTCTGTAAAATTTATAACAAACGAATTTTGATCGCACCTTGATTTATTCAGTTTTAAAATGGTCAAGATAAAATAGGTATCGCATAAAATTAAAGTCATAATCACGGAAACAATGTTAGATTTTCACGGAATAATTTTTTGTTAAAATCATGTATTCAAAGACAGTCTTGGTTTTGTATTGTCCAAAATAGCTTAGTTACGGTTGAACGAAAATAAAGTGAAAATTAAATTAACAATAAAATGCTAAAATTACGGGTTTGGGTCATTAATAGCCACAAATGAGAGCACATTATGCTGGTTTTACCTGAAATTTAATCCCTTGTATTTTCTAAATTTGCATTAATGGCCAAAGGTAAACCATGATACTAATTTTCCTTAATATACAGCTTTTTAAAAACATAATAATGCTCGATAATTTCCCTATTTTATTTCTCCATTAAAACGCAGATGCAAACACCTCACTATTGGTAAGGCGGTTTGTCCTTCGAATGTCAATTTTTGTTGAGGAAATTGACGTATAGATGAAACTCTGGCAGAAACAGTAGCCGATTGCATGGAAATCACAAGGAGTGTGAAAATTAAGAAGATTTAACAGCTCGTACATTTGAACAATAATTTCAAGTACGTCTTGTATCAGTTTTGAAATGTGTATTTGCCAACGCGATTGCGAAAGAAACACGAATATCACGAGATGTCACGTCATGCATATACGTTATAAAAGGAAAATAAGGAACATTCGTGTATATATTTTTTCATGAATGCATAACGCTATATATATGTGCATTTGTCAACGCCTATAACGTGAAAATAAGAGTCTTTTTAGAAATCGTTTTCTCTGTTTTCTAAAATCGGTAAGTGACATTTATCAACGGAGGAAAATAAACAAATATAACAACAATAATTAATTTTTCTTAATTCCTAATTTACACAAACACACATAGGCGGTAAGAATTTTTCTCTTTCTCATAAAACAAAAAATGTATACTTTGTTTGACAAAGATACGTACTTTTTCTAACCTTTTAAAATTTTCAAATGTAGATTAAAACATAGTCCAACCCACTACGTCCTAGAATAAATGCATGGGTTTGCCGTTTGCTTTTCATTCAACCGTCAACATGGACTGTTGCCTATATGATTTAACGACAAATGCCATGTTGTTATCGCGGTATCTTGCAGAAAACCCCTTTAGGGATTTGTGTAAAATAAATAAAATATCAATGTTTATAATTGAATGACTGGGAAACTTTTGATACACAAAGTTCGCTTTGAACTTAATATAAAAATATTTTCATTCATTCTTATTTCATTATAATTCTACCACAAATATAATTTATTAGATATGAAGCCTCCGAATTATTTCAACTTGATTAAATTTTGACGGAACATGATCTAAAGACAAATCGATTTCTAACCCCTGGTCTTTGATAATGGCCCCAGAGGTTATTTATCTATGGTCAGATGTCGATTTCTGAAATGAAGAAGGTGTTGAATAGCCACCCTTAATAACTATCCATTGTTAAAAGGAAAGAGTAATACAGCTGATAGATCAATAATAGTGACCATGTCTGTGTCCTTAATCCGACAGGGATATTTCTCCGAGACGCGTGGACGCGCGTGCCATCAATTTTCGATACATATTTATTTGTGAATATAATATAGATTGTATATTAAAATATTTCATCAATAATTCAATGTGTACATTCCTTAAAATTTGAGATTATATTTAAATATAAGATATTAAATATCGCTTGTACAAACAGCCATGGAAAGACTTCCAAATCCCAATGAAATATTATGTAAATTTAAAATATTGCATTACAAAGTTTCATTAGTGTGAATTTCAAAAGAATGTAAAGCAAAAAATGATAACGATGCTGGACTGGTGTTTAATGTCCGATGGCAAATATTACATGTATATCAGGACGAGAACTTTTAATTGCCTTGTATGTGATATGATTAAATCATCTTTGTAGTAGACAGACACACTAAACGTTTTTTTTTACAAGCTAGTTCACAAGGTAGCAATTCGTATATGAAGCACAAGGTAAAAGTTCGCAGGAAAGCACAACGTCACAGTTCGAAGAAAACACAACGTAACAGTTCGAAGGAAGACATGATACCATACCCGGACTTATTATTCTTACTACAATCTGACAAGTGTTACTTCTAAATGTCACGTATTTAGCGGAAAAGAAGAGACCTTCCGAGGCGAGCACGTTTCATGGAACCACCGATCGAGTAGAAGAGACCTTCAACCGAGGCGAGCACGTTTCATGGAACCACCGATCGAGCAGAAGAGACCTTCCGAGGCGAGCACGTTTCATGGAACCACCGAGGCGGTTATGAAATAAATAAAACCATCGATGTTCGAACAAAGGTTAAAATCATTTAAATTGGTTTCTTTACATTACTACATAAACTTGATGAATTCTTTTATGCATTTTGCAAAAGGTAAATAAGTTATGAAAATTAGGCATGAATAGAT